GATGAAACTACATGACTAATAAAAACAACAACAAAAAAACAACAAAAACACTTCATTTAATGAACTGGTTTTAGTGGCTCAGATATTGAGTCTGGATCAGAAATAAAACACAAACCGATTCCTGCATTTATCTGTGTGCGTGTTTGTGTGTGTTTCAGTTCAATTCCCTCGGCCTCTTCCCATTTGTTCATTGTTGCTGTGCGTCGATACTCGGCGCTCCCACAAACAAACGATCTGTGAGCGGCGACAGCAGCGGCGGTGGCGGCAGCATTTTCTCAGAAAACCTGAAAAAAAAACAGTTCCAAAAAAACTAGAAATCACTTTTCATCAGTCACGGCTAATTACGACGTGTGACAGAATCACAGCCGCCGTTGCAGGAACACATTCATCATGTATGTGCTGGGTAAATATATTTCTTGTATTAAGTCGCCGGTCATTCCTCAGACTGTATTACGTTCTGTTGTCCGTACAGCCGCCGTCGCGGGAACACATTCATCATGTATGTGCGGGGTAAATATGTGGCGTTCGTTTCTATATTTCTATATTTCTATATTTCTTGTATTTTGATAATATATTATAGTAATAATTGTAATTTTTTATTTAATTAATTTAATTATATTTAAATAATTAATAACAAAAAATTATAAATAATAAAATTAAAATAATAAAAAATTAAATTAAAAATTAAAAATATTAAAATATATATTAAAATATAATAATAAAATATTAAAATATAAATAAGTATAAATAAAATATTAATAAATAAAGATAAATAAAAATAAAATATTAAAATATAATAAAATATTAAATAAAAAAAAATTAAAAATAAAAAATAAATAATAATTAAAATTATATTTAATTAATTGTAATTATTATTATAATAATAATTGTATTTTTGATAATATTCCAAATTCCTTTTCTCCAGGAGCCATGGCTCGAAAAGGAATTTCGTGGGAGATTACACTTTGTATCCGAAACCAACTCTGACAAGCAGACTGTGTCTATACGCAGACGGAGTCCAGGGAAACGTGTGAACATTTGAACACCTGAACTGACGGAGGGAAAAAAAAATCCTCTGTTTACATCTCCGCCACGCCGAGTAAACAACCAACCAGCAGGGGATGACTGTGAGCAGGGTTTTTTTTTTTTTT